AAAAAAACTAGAAGTTCCTAAAAAGACCTGCATGATAGTCTTCCTCACTCGCCACAATTTGTAGGTTTCTTGTTCATCGTCTGCCATTCTGTTCTAGATTAGCAAAAATGTTGCATATAACCTCAATTTCTGTGCAACAAAATGATGTCATTTTGAGATAAGGAACGCAAAGGAAAGCGTAACATTTAAGACACTGTTACTGAGTAAAAGTTTATCATAAAAATTTATACATGATGTAACTATACCAACAAACATCTGAATGAAATAAAAAACATACTCAACTTAGCGAGCTATCTTGAGCTTGTAGAGCATGTACTGAGATAGACTAATGATCAAGATTATCGAACTAATCAGAAAATAAAATTCTCTGTTTACAATAGAGCACATCTAACATACAAAGACTAGATCTTATTCATTTCACGCGAAAATGAGGCAGAAGGATCTTCAGGAGGAACACCTGCTCCTTCTGGTTTCAGGCCTGAAGTAAGAGAGTCAAAAAATATCAACGTAAGTAGAGAGACGATTGATGAGTTTACGCCTATTTATACGACGAATTCGTTATCATATCACCGGGCGTACTTCTAATTGTTATGACTTTTGGTGATTCTGTTGTGAAAGGCTTCCTAATATTCTCCCAAACTGATCGAACTGATTGCATATCAAGAAAAAGGAGCAACACTGAGGTGAAAGTAGAGACCAATATTACTCTTTTTAGTGAGAAATCGTTAATTAATGAAGATTTGGAAAAACTTGCCAAAATAGATTGCTCCATACACCAAAGCAGCAACAGTGAATCCTTGTGCAAGACACCGACCACGCATGAAATACTGTGCTTGCATAGGTTTCCGCCTTACTGTCATAGCTAGCATGCCTAAACGGCTTGTGTTGAAAAGGTGGATAGTAAGGTTATGAGGTTTCTGCTAATTTTATAATTCGTGAAACCTCACCAATTAGACATCCCACAGTAGCAGCCATGCCGATTGGTACAAATGGGTTAGCCAATGCTCTCTGTAGAACTGTGGACGAAATGGCCTTGCTGTGTGATCCCTCTGCAAATCTATTTATTACGGTCCAGAGCGCTTAGCCTACGCACATCGGCGATGACGCGGTTTCAATCTTTTTCTCAGCGTCGGGGGGCAGCCAGGAATTAACGAGCGCGACCACCTCTGCTCACAGACTGATTTTTAAGATTTGAATACACAAAACTTGGCGCACAAAACCATTGAAAATGAGCTCGATGTGGAATGTTTGATGAGTTGGAGTTATCCAAAGGCATAATAAAGGATGCTGACCAAAAGGACGTATATGTATTGGCAATGAAAAAAAAATTGACAGCAGTGAAAAACAAAATTTAACTTTTTTACGCGGTAGTGGACATGAAAGGGCGCTTATCCGGTAAGGGGGGGCATTGTGATGCAACGTCTAATAGCTGCCCTCACCCCCCACCCCCTGAACTGGCTTCACTCCCCCTGGCTCACGGGGTCCCGTACTTCGAGAAACCTGTGCGCCAGGGGGAGTGTAGGCAGTCTAGGGGGGTGGGGGGGTGAGTTACAGGAGGGAGCGCCACGAAAGACAGTGGCGGACAAAGACACTGGCGCAAATTTCAAGAGATTCAGGTGGCAATGATGGACAGATAAAATCACGCGTTTGTTAAGAATGGGACTGAACCGAGATGGTAGAGGAAAGGTTCCAGATGCAAGGGTCTGGGCAATTATACGATTTCCTGAACTTCCTTACGCTCCTACGACTCAGCCCTAGAGAATGCCACCTATGTTGCGAAAGCCACAAGCTGTGATCCATTTTTGCGTTTATTTCTACTAATCTTTTTTATTTACATACTTATGAAAACAAAAAGAATAGCAGAAATAAAGGCAAAATGCGATAGCAACATGTTGGGGATGCTTTCGTAAGTGGGGGGGGGGCTGCGGAATGCAAAGACGTATGGACAATTCTGTGGACTACGGTTTTGACTACGGAAAATACGGACTTGGAAAAGTCGGTTCGGAAAACTTGAACTCGGTCTTTTTTAAAACGCTGTCGAATAAATGACTGCCTTCGCCTGCGCTCTCTCGCCTGAACAGCGGCTAATGGTTACTGTGATCTGATGCATTCAAATTTTGCCACAATATGATTGACACACCACCACTCCAGAGCCCCCCTTCCCTCCAAAGCTTAGTCCTAGGGCTCACAACTTACTGCCTGAGATTTGGAGCGGAGCCAGGCGCCGTTCTCTAATCGTCTGTGCTCTGGCCTTTCGCGGCAGAGAACACAGGGGCGAGTTCAAGTAGTCACGTAATCGAAAAAGTCGACCGCACGAAAAAGGGTGAATGGGTGCGACTGTCGGCGGCCGCACCGTCCACAAGGCCTGCAAGACATGGGGGCCACTAGCGAGTCGCGATTTGTTGAAAAAACATTAATATACTTCTCATATAGTCCATTTTTTGAGAAACCGAGCATGAATGCTGCTTTAAGAAAAAAGGATAAACCATCCGATTCTGTAGATCGACCCGTTTCAAAAATGCGCTAAGCAGTCTAGCATTCCACACTGTACAAAATATCAGCGGTAGGGAACAGAGCAAGCCGCTGTCAAAGATGTTTTGACGGTAATGTATGTGCCTCGCTGGGATGTTGTATTTCATGAAGGAAAGGCTCATATTTTCGAGTTTTGAAGACGTTGTATATACGTCGAGAATACTGTCGATAGTGAAGTATTGGGGAACCGCATGATATTTGCCAGCAAGTGAGTCTTCAGTATCTGAATTTTGGGTGTAGAATTTGGAAAAGCATGTAGTTGTTACCAAATTTAGGACACATAGGACACATCAAATCATCAGGGGGGGGGGGAGAGTGGCAAGGGAACGTTATGACAATCCTCGACACGGTGGCTCATCGGCAGTCGGAGGGACCTGGCCTTTAGCGGGACCAGTTAGGGAAGGCATCCAGTGTATGGGCAATGATTTACCTGACACTGAATGGAAGACCCCAAAGGATGAACGTCATTGTCGGTTTGCGTAATGTCGAGCAAAGATTCGAGCCTCATCCAGAGGCAGGGCATATGTTAGACATTTGTCACAGCATCACAGCCGCAAATTCTAATTGAAAAGTCAAAAATACATAGAACTCACTGGAAAAGTCACGCGGTATCATAGGGACTGTATTCGGGGCATGTTTCTCACGTTCGATCTGAAAGTGTAATAGTGTAGGCTCAGAAAACTGTTGTATGTCCACACAATCTTAGACGAGTGAGGAAGGCGAACATTAACACGTTGACGACATCGCATGTTTTGGCATTTTGCACCTCGTGGGACAGGAGCGATTTTGCGACCGCGCCGTCCTCACCTTACTTACGCTTATTTTTTGTTAAAAATGCACAATAACTTGAATTTCATAGGACTATTTCGGCAAGGACGATCGCACAAAGGTTAAGTATATAAGTAGCAAAAGGTTTTCGTTTAGAAGAGCGCATAATAACCACGAAGAAGTAAAAAAACATCACTTTCGCTGCGAATGAAATTAAAAGCATTTATATCTAAGTACTCCCATCAAATCAAATATATTGAAACTCACAGAGTTTTGTTTCAACTAACTCTAAAATCTTTCATAAGAATATTGACGGCAGTGAAAGTATTATTAAGAAAGAATCGGAACGAAAGTTTTGTGCGTTCGGAAAATCTTTGCTTAATCAAAAGATACTTGACCACTCTAGCTGCCAAGCGGTTTATAGTCATGCTAATGTATTATCTATAGAATGAATACAAGAAACCCGAGAGGAAGGAGCGCAAGCACGATAAAAGTGAGTAGCATAGACTTGACGCGCTTGCGCGTCAGAATGTCCGATGCGGTGCGAAATTCTTGACGCGCATGCGCGTCAGCTTGTCGTCAACGTGTTAAATGAAGCGATCCGCGCTGCTTGCTACCCTCGCGTTATCAATCGATAAGGTGTGAGGCAGTAATTGTTGGACGAGTGTAAGCCCATGGAAGATATGATACGATGAGATAAGAAGGTGCGGCTGCTTGATAAGAGGTGCACTCCAGAATGAAAACGGGACGATAACGATAACGGTATCATATCTAGCACGCTCTTATCGCACCCCTTTCCACATCGATAAGTCTTGGTTTTTGCTGAACGGAAGTGGATTTCGGCGCCTTATCACTCCGTTGATAAGGCGCCACTGCCACTGAAACTTCACGTGTTGTAACACTGGGCAGGACCTCTATCCACTCCAATACATAGCTTCCCTTATCGTTCCCATGAAAATTATCGTGACCACTTCCTTTAAAAAAAGACTCACCAGCCATTCCATATGCTGTTTGTGGTCAGAGAAGTCATGAGGTGGTGGTGGAGACTCAGGCATAATCAGAACTATAATAGAACTGGAAAGCGACATTTGATTAAATCATCTCCAACAACAAAAAGGAGTACTCGCGTTGCTCGATTTAGGTAAGACCTCTCAAGAAAAGCCGAAGTTGAGTATGAGGGGTCTAAAGTTAAGGCTAATATTCAAATCGATAACGCTCAATAACATCTTCTAATCCCTAAAACGATACGAGATCGACGCTAGGATTAACAGTAACTCAGTGTAATGTAGTGATAATAAGATTAATAATGGTTCGGCATTTCGCAATAAGGACTATTTCAAACGGATGATTGAACTTTTCGCTTCTGCTTCCACACCCAACCGGGGCTTCTTTCTCCTGCAAAAATTGGAATTACGGTGAGGGGTGGGGGTGAGGGGAGCGGGCTCAACGACGTGAAGCTCTGTTCTTCTGCGATCTCTTGGCATAATCATACTTTTCGATTGCAATCGAAGGTCTCTCTGGTCGAGTAGATACGTATCGACCCTAACTCGGAACAACCGAGCCACTATATTTGAAACGGCCAAGCTACGGCACGATGGGAATGGCCCTTGAGGCTCAGGTAATCCTCGGAGGTGGGAGGGCATCCGGGAAAAATGAAAACTGCTAACGAATCCCGAATTCCCTAACCCTCAAGGTGTTGCCTCGTAGAGTCTCAGAACTGAGCGGTACCTCAACATCAAGCCTTACGCAGAGAAGAAAGCGAGCCGCCCGCCTGCCCCCTCCTAACTAAGTTAGCGTCACGGCACGAATTGTCGCACCCTCCCCCCCCCCCTCCGGCTTTCGGACAGATTCCAGTGATTAAATAAATTCTGGAAACTGCTAAATAGGAATAAGTCTATCAAAACTGAACCAATTTCATAAATCACATAAAAAAGTGAACAAGTCGCTCATCTTTATAATCTGCTGAATGGCTAACAGGTGATGTTAGCTGACGACAGCTCTAACCTCACTTACTTACCAACGGGATACAGCTATACACTCCTACACTTAATCATCAAAAAGCGAAACAATAAACTATTCGAAACTAGGAACCGACACGTGATGTTGTGTGGGCAGCGTGCAGTTGCACCAAGTGTATTTTACGTCACGCGAGATGAAAGTAGCGCCATGCTGATGCTAACCCAGTTGTTGCGAGGAATGGCATCGTCGATTTATAGACTGGGTTTTATCAAGCGACAGGAATAGGCAGCGACTAAAAATCAAGTCAAGAACATCGATCACATAGGGTGCTAACTTAGTTGGGGGGGGGCCACGCGGCGGCGCGGCAGTCTGCTCGCCTGGCATGTTCGGAAATCCGTGGGCCAGGGGGAGTGTAGCCAGCCTAGGGGGGTGGGGGGTGGGGGCAGTCACTTGACATGCGTGAAAAGCTGGAATGTTCGAGTTTACACTGTCTCGCTCGAGAGAGCCCAGGTGAGCAGACTGCCGCGCCGCCGCGTGGCCCCCCCCAACTAAGTTAGCACCGATCACAAAGCGACT